ACCGGCAATGAGACACCATGCGTTCAACCTGCCAAAATGGGGTGAAGGCTTGTTTGCGGTTTGATATGTTTCTGCACTCATTTATCTTGAAGCGAAGCTCGAACCGATGTTCAAGCAACGGAGAAACACTGTCCATAACTTTCTGCTCTTTGACAAGTAAGAATGTCCCGCAACAAAAGCAAATGTGAGGACTCAAGACGAGCAAATGATAATCCACCCAACTTGCTCGATCAAAATGAATCGAAGGGTAAATCAATTGTCATTTTGAGGATCCAACACCTCTGAGGCGAAGCCTAATTTGCTGGAGCAGATCCAACCTTCAAGACTTTACACTTTACACCTCTCTCGAGCGGTGCATGTCAACATTCATTAAGAACATCAATCATGCTGTGGAACATACTCAAACAAACTCACTCTCAGAGAAAACGACTCTCTTGAGGTGGCTCCTTCCAGCTGAGTGAAATAGGTCGGCACATGTTTTTGCCAGACCTGTCGGAAACCTGCGAGCTACGTCCAGCAGTACTGACCAAATACACTTTGTCGCGGTTCTAAGGTTTGGCGAGAAGTGTACTGACGGAATAGCACGGTGAAACATGACCAGCCAAGGCACATCTAGGATGCACTGCAGATCAGTAAAAACCACAAAGAATACAAATGTCCAATCCAGGGGCATGAGGAATGCAGTGTTTCCGTCAGCTACTACAAATGCCACGGTCGGCCATCTGCTTTGCAGGACCTGACTCAACAAGCAATCTGGCATGACACAATCTCACGTGACACTTTGCAACCCCTAGGAGCAAGGACGCTACTAGGGGCTCCTGGCATCGCTACTAGGAGCAAGAAGCTATTAGGGGCTCCTGTCCTTACTACTAGGAGCAAGGACGCTATTAGGGGCTCCTTGCAACATCTTGAGGCTGTGTGTCTTGTCTTCCTGGCCTGCAACACTAAACCAGGCACTTCGAGGCAGTGCTATTCAGTGTTCCGCCGTCGCTTGGCGACCTCATGCGAGATGGGCTGCGATAACTCTTGATGATGTGTGTTGAAGTTAAGATATTTGCATATTCAGAAAAGTCGGCTGCACTCTGTACTACCAAGCTTGAGACTCTGATCTTAGCACCTTAATCCTGGATCTTTGCCACTGGCGGCACCTTGCAATGGTCAAGTTGGAGGACGTTTTCCATTCCTGGCGAATCTGCCTGCTTTCTCTCTCCAGGCAGCTTCGTTTTCATCGCTGCAACCGCCTGCCAGCCAGCATTGTTGCGCAGTTTGATGCTTTTACTTTAACAGAAGACGCAGCGGCCTCAGCGTTTCTCGCATTGAGATCATGTATTCGGCTAGTGACCGAAGATTGAGCCTGCAGCAGCAGGCTGTCACGAGCATTTCATGATCAGAGATCGACAAGCAGTCAATGTTCACAAACGTTGCCAAATATGGAAAAACATGTGGTTCTTCAATTAGATTCTCCACAAGCTTGGGGGCCTCTGACCCTTGCGGGTGCGATTCACCATCAAGGGAGTCTGCTGACCAAACGCCCTTGTAGGCAGAAGCATCTGCATAGACATACCTGGCTCTTTGCTGTGCAATTTCTTAGACCCGACGAAGGGTGATGCAGTTTAAAGCTTTCTTTGATGCGGTGACTCGAAATCCGTTGAGTCCAGCACCGCTTTGACTTGTTTCCAAGCGTTGATCTTGTTGACACTCCAACAGGCCAGATTCGCATGCCATCTCCCTCTTTCTGAGCGGATTGCAAGCAACCAACATACTTGTCCCCGTTGGCAAAAATCGCGATGGCTTTGCCTGGCAACTGCGAGCTCATGTAATATGTCTTGATCACCCGTCATAGCATGGAGGACTCTCCATGCTCAGAAAGTAAGAGGCAGAGTCACGGGGTCACCATCGCCCGATTATCCTAAGGCTCCGGCATTGCTGCTTGTCTACCAATTCATCTGCAAGCCTTGGACCAGGCGTTGCAAGACAAGAAGGGTACAAAAAAGGAACTCCTTTCGGTTTGTGCTCCAGTCTGCCAGCCCTGAGGTCTATTTTTCTGCTTCGAACTCGAAAACGCCCACAGAACGGTCCACTTGTCCGCCATATTTCATGGCATTCACTCCAAGGTCCAAAATCCGATCAGGAATAACTTCCTTCTGAAATTGGGCAAATCCTGTTTCGGCTGCAGCTCCAGATGATGCCCAGAAGCTTTCCAGGAAAATCTTCTGCCCCTGCCCATCCAAACGACCTGCATCAGTGGTGATGACCGTCGCTCCATTTGCAGCAGCAACTCCGAGCTGATGCCCCAGAGCCTTTGCAACGGGTTCGTTGTATAGAAGGTCTGAGGCCACTACCACATCTGGATTCAAATCCAGAAGGTTCTGTGGAGGCTCGTTGATAATATCAAAAACTCTTGTCGAGAAATCCTCCTCCATCTCTCCCTGCTGATGCGCTGATTGTTCAGCCAAGCGAAGCGAGAGCAACGAGATGTCAGTACTGGTAACTCTGGTGCCACTGGCCAAGGCTGCCAAAGAAGGCAAAGCGGTGCCACAAGCCAGCTCAACCACGTGCAACTGTCCTTTGTGTCAGTTGAAAGTGCCAAGGTTCTACGCGATTGCGAATATATACTTGTGGCATCTTGTGGCAACATTAAAAAATGCTTTTGAGCACCGAGGCCATTGCGTCCTGCCCTTTTCCGCTTTATGACACGTAGAACTGCGCAAGCAGCGACGAATGATGCTGGCCAGAAAAATGCGCTGTACCTAAACACTGCTGATCAATATCAAGGGTTGGAGACCATCCAAACACCCCAGGTCTCACCACAAACGCACCTGCTGCCTTCTGACCTCTGAAGTGGCCAAGTTGCAGCATGTTGGTATACATTGATGCTCTCATTTCCACTGAAGGATCTGTTTGAGCAGGTCTATATTCCCAAAGAACATATTGAAGTAAAGCCCAAATCAAGCTGGGATCATTCAAGCTGTCCAATTGGCACAATACCAAAGGCTTTGTCATTTCCGGCTCGAAGCAAATGCTTATTCTGGAAGCCTCAGCAGCACCAACAATTCACACTCAAGCATCTACTCTGCGACTTTCAGACTATGGCAAATCAATGCAAATGGAACTCTTGGCAGAATCAATCGGGTTCATTGTTTCATTGGCATGCTTCCTGGTGACCTTGGGGACATAGGTGAACTTTCCATAGCTTGGGCTTGGGGAACTGCTGGACAGCAATGCCACTCCATAGGCTTGGAGCCCAGAGAGCAGCCACAAAGGTACCTGATTGACTAGTGTTGGCAAAGTAAGATCCAGCGGCAGAAACGGATGAACCCGCTTAGCGCCTGCGGAAGAGTTTCTCTCCAGTCCAAGTAGCTCCGCCAAAAGCGCGGCCTTGGCGTTGACTTTGGATCACGGATGGAATTTTGGCAGCTTGTTTGGTACCAGCGATTTCAACAAAGCTTCTTTGAACCATTTGGTGTAGATCTCGGTGGTCGCCGTATCATTAAAAAAAAATCTCGCAGACGACCTCACTGTGGCCGACTTGCTACAACTTGTTGTGTGCTATATAATGAGACGACTGGCCTTCAAGAAATACGAACGGATCACTGTCGTCCCGCAGAATCAAGAAATCATCATCTAAGTATGTGATCGTCCTGAGACAAGGTTGCAATCACTGAGCACTTCTGGCTCTGGTGCAGTATGTGATTCTGGTAGCTGAGTTCATCACATCGCACCATCTGCAAGTGATACTTTGCGCTTATTGTCTCGGTCAATCTGCAATTGAGCCTCAAATGGCCTTGGCATCACTTCTTGTTCATAGTCAGTCATAGTTGAATCTTTGTCAAATGGCTTTCTACTATTTCAGACCCTGGACATGAGTTCTGGGCAAGTCCCACCAGCTGTGGAAAGTATTTCATTCATAAGCGAACCACTTTATCATTGCGGAATTATCCATGCAAAGCACACGCTTTAATCTCGGGCAGCCACAGTGTTTCACTTCGACCAAATGCTCCAATCAGAAGTTCGATCCGCACCATCATGTCTTCCGAAATGCTCATTGACACCTACAGTTGAAAATTTATTCACGAAAGCGCACGTTGCAAGAAAGCACTGCTTCTACGCGATGCAGAGGTTTTTATCATGCACCATACGTCAAGGCACTGATCGCAGCACGCGTTCACCTTCTTGGAAGCTTCGCATCCTCGTACACAGCTTCCAGTTCCGAAATTGATGGTCGCACCAAAAAGCTCATCGAATCTTATCTACAGTATATACGCCTATCTCCGTTTGCAACCAGCGAGTGCTACTGAGAGTCAGAAGTGGTGGGCGTGAACTTGCTGTGTCTCCTTCAGGCACCAAAGAAATTTGTCATGATCCAATGGTCGCCTCGGTTCTGTATCTTTATGAGAACATGGCAAGACCTTGTACCCTTCAAATGGTAGCCCACTGGAGAAACTGACCCAATGTCCGTTGAATTTACAGCAAACTACATAGTGTGTAATCTTCTACAATGCATTTATGTCCTTGAAAAATTCTCCAGTTATGTCCCGTCCTGCCTATGAGCGTCCAGTCTCCAGCAAGAGAGCTCGGGAGCTCTGTGGACAGCTGTTCCAAATCAGAGATGAGTGTCCGCACATCAGCAGCATTTCCCGAGCCAGTAAAGCATCCCAGGTACTTCAAAAGTTGTGCCTTTGCCTCGCTACGAGAACTGCGAAGCTTCGCCTTTCCGTCACGACTTCGGCCTTGGAGGCCCGGCCATTTGTGTGACTGTGCGTAGCGAGCGTAGCGAGCATAGCGAGCGCAGCTTGGAAAGGGATATCTCCAAGGTCGGCCATGGTGTGGCTGCAAACTCCGCAGCCAGGGTCTCTCACAAGCCAGCATGCCCGACTATTGCTCCCATTCAGGCTCTGGTGTAGGTGGTGTTGATGATTGTTGCACTTTATCATGGGAGTGACAGTGAGACTACAAAGAGTACTTGATTGTGACTCAAAAGCTTTGATATGCTTGCAGCGTCATGCTCTGTGTGGGCCAAAGAAAGAAGAGAGAAAGCACGGTCCAAGGAATCCAGCAAATCGGCATTCCAAACTCTGAGGTCTGTGCATTCCAGGTTGCACGTCCGGCTTTCTAGAAGCGACAAAGACCCGCCTTGGCATGACAAAGCAGGCAAGAACCCATTCAAGCGCTGCACGAATGGGTTCACAACCCCAGCATCAGAAGAAAATACAAACAAGCGAGCACGAGCAGCTGCTCTGGAGGGCCGCGGGGATCTACCTCGCAGCATGGTGTGAGGAATATTTGTGCCAAGAGGAGTTCTCTCTGGTTGGGCCTCTGTAGCAGAAACAATCATTTCCACCAGCTCCTCTTCTAGCCTTGCAGAGCATCCACAAATCAAGTGATATACTTTTGGACCAAGCAACTTCCTGCCTGCCATTGTTCCACACACCAACTATCCTGGTGCCACTGGCGTCAGTTAGGACACCACGGCCATGCTCCTGCAATTTGCCGATGGGAGGCCAAATGCTAGTCGGACACAAATGGCACCTGATCTTCAAAGAGCTCACCAACATATATGAGGCCATTGGTGTAGGTCTTTTTCCCAACCTGCACAGCATGAAGACTTTAAAGAAGGCAACAGACTTTTCCAGGACGTCCATCCAAAAATGACTGCCTTGCTGCAGACATTGTTCTCAAAGACACCGGTGAGAGTAACACCGGAGGACCACCTCGCATGATAGAAGTGGTTTGGTGATCATTGCTGCACTTCAATTCTCGTGTTTCTGAGCACAAGCACGTGTAGCAGCCCAAGCCATTGAACATGGAATCCTGCAGGTCTTGAGATGGAAGATTCACTGTTCTGTTTTTGCACACACCCAGCCCCACAGTCGAAAACAACATGTCCTTGAACTCGCCCGTGTACTGGTCATTGGTGATGAAGGTGATAGTTCCTCTACCCTGAGAGACACGAAAGACTGCACAACACCGAGAGACACAGTTGGACCAGTTGGACCAGGTGTCGATCTCTCTGCAATCACAGCGCCACGGCCCGAAAGCGCCCGCCTCCATGTTTCCAGCGTGAAACTCGCCAGAGCATACGGAGCCACAACTCGTAGTGAGGGTTCCCTGTGACGGGAGAAATAGGGCCATGCAACTGCTCTAAAGGGCCCAAACTTGTGAGGAATCCCATGCAACAAATGTCGCACCCTGAACACATTGCTGCTCTGAAGGTCGCACCCTGCCGCTCATCTCACCAAACTGCCATTGGCCACGGTAAACATTTGCCTGTGCACAATGACGACAAGAACTTGGGGAACATCCTGGACACACAAACAAGAACTGGCTAGCAGCCCAAGCCCAAGTGCCTTGTCTGGCCACTCAAACGTACCCTCACCGTGGTAGAGTCCATTGAAAAACCTCAGTGTTCACTTTTGCTGTCTGTATTCAGAAAGTGCAGCGACTAGTGAAGCTCCTGCACTATCAGTGAGCTGTCTGAGAAATCTACTCACCCACATAGCGAGCCTTCGCAAGACAGACTGTCTGATTAACTGTCAGCGTGCCATGGACCCTGTCTTTTTTTGTCTTTGTCTGTCTGGGGGGATAGGGTGAAGAGTGGAGAGGGTAGGACCGGGTAGGAGGAAGGGGGGGTAGAGAGGGTAACCAATTGCACACAGAAGCGTTCCGAACTTAAGCTTCAAACCGTTTGCCCTTTATTTCCCTTTATACTTAGAAAAAATAAAAATAGATCAGCCAATGCACTCAGCACAACTCGCCTTGACTGACCATTCCAGCACGCCATGGCCCTGGAAGACGTTGTGCTCAAAGGTTCCCTGCAGGACTAAATGAGTATTAATATTCAGAGAATATGCACACACCATTTGCTGCTCTTCCCCCAGCGAAAATTGCATCATGTTGTAGATTCTTAGATTATCGACATTTATTTGATGAAATATATATATATAGTAAGAATAATGTATGATATGCATTTTTGCAGAGAGGGGAGAGAGAATGCTTGCCATCGATCTAGTTTGCGCTCACACCACTTTGACAACGGACTCCCAAATCTGCAAATGCTCTGGCCGAGCATGCCGACCTTGTAGCGACAGACTCCAAAGTCGTCAGACCAGCACAGCATGCCTTCACCGTGCATCATCTCATCCTCCGGGCACATGGTTGAAGACATGCTTGTGACTTTCATCAATGGCCTTATGGTGACTTGGTGACAGTTGCTTGCCAAGAATCCGTGGGAATCTCTCTATTTCTGGGAACGTCAAGTCAACATCGGGAACATCTTGAGACTGAATCATGTGACTATGGATTTTCCGGCTTGGCGGACTTCTGCCTGGAACTGGCCAATGTACCGTCTTCCATCTGGCCACTGGAAAACTCCGTACCTTCAGAAAAGAATAGCAAACACTTTGAAAACAAAGGGCTGCAGTTGCAGTTGCGCCAAACAACTGTGGGGGCGGCTTGTGGATGCTGTTGTTGAGGAGAGTGCCTGTCGGCATCTGAATCTATTCATGCGTCTACAACCAACAAGACGACTCTGCGGGGCTCACTCCTGCTATTGTGTCAGTAACAGCTTGCTTCACACCCATGCCAGCCCATGCTGTTTTATGAGTCTGCAATTGGAGACTGGAAAGTTTGGAACACAAATTTCAAGCGTTGGTGTCGCATCGCAGCATATTACAGCTTCCCGCCTGTGTACATGGAACCATTGGCCCACTTCTTTGTGCCCTGAGCTCAGCAAAGGTCAGTTAAGGTCTACATCCGAAGACGAAGCGACCCAATGCCTCTCCGGTGGCCCCGTGGTTTTCAAAGACGCCAGTGATCATGGTGCCATTTGGAAACCTCGCAAAGACGCTGTGCGCACAGCGGATTGTGCACCACAAGCAGCTTCTTCACAGCCTGTGACATCCAGGGCCGACAATTTCGCTATTGTGCCAGAGGCCTTCAAACTCAGTTCCTGGCTCTGAAACAAGCAAAATCTCAACGCTGCTGGATCATGCTCAATGTGCTCCAATTCTGCTGATTTCTAATGCCTACTGAGTTTGTTCAATCAAGTGACTCCCTATTGGTTTCAGGATTGTCAAGCTTGCTGGCAACACCGTCGGGCCAGTGAAATGTTCCACGACCTTCCAGTTCACTGTCATGGAACTGCCCCTGCCATGAGGTCAGATCTGGATTGATTCCATCAATACTTTCCATCTGGGCACCGGCCTCAAACCAAGAGCCATCAGGGAGGGTCTTCTTGCCCTTTCCCTCAATGCAATTGTGCTGGAATTCTCCTGGATGCACATGCTGCCCGTGCCGCCTTTTGTCGATGGTGTGCGAATGCTTCATATGAGTTGGTTCGGGATGTGAACATCCGGTTCTGTGTCAGTGTGAGTGAATGTGTGTGTGTGTGTGGTGCGTGTGGCCAGCCTTTGTAGCTGGAGCCGTCTGCCCAGGTAAGCTTGCCCTTCCCTTCTCGAATGCCATCCTTGCACAAAAACATGTGACTATTCACCCACACAAACCCGCGCACTTGAGACGACAAGCCTTCCACTCACCATCGTACTCGATTCCATTCGGCCATTTCACCTGAACCCCAACTTCACTATCCATCCAACTCTCAGGAATATGAAAAGCGAGTCATCGTTTGATTGCACCACGCTGCCTTACCGCGGCCATTCCTCAGCTGGCGACTTGAATGAATCCAGCGAAGCTGAGAGACTACACGTGATAGTGACTCCGCAAGTTTTTGTCAGAGCCAAGTCTCATCCGATTCTGTAGCCATTGGCCACTGTAAACCCAGCCCTCTTCAGCACTTTCGAACGTACCCTGCTGCGAACCATGTCCAGTGAGAGTAACAGCAACAACAACAACAAAACTGCAGAGCTGGTTCCAGTGCCTCACCATCCTGCATTTCATGCTTGAAGCTTCCAGCATAGCGATCTCCATTTGGCCAAGTTCGTGTTCCCTTCACAACAAGTGGCATTCGCATGATAGTCTGTCGGAACATGCCAGCAGATTGTGCAACATCTGTCCTTGCCATGGAAAACGCCCTTCTTCAGGCTGCCTATGTACTCCTGACAAGCGATTCTTTTACTAACTCTCACAATGAGGAGGTTTGAAACAGCCGTCCTCCCCGGAGGGCCAAGTCATTTTGCCCTCACCCCACATTTGGTCCTGTCACACATCATTTCATGGAAATGAATTCTTCGGATTTCTCATTGACAGGTGCAGCCCACTTGCAGCTATTTCCTTGGGTGGATCGCGTGAACAGCACAATATGGAACATGGTTCAATCCCTTTTTCCGTCTCCCGCGCTTTGGACGTTTCTCAGAAAGTCACTTCTCAGCTCAACAAATCTCCCCTCGCATGGGAGGACCTTTCCGTTCACACAGCGATGGATCGACCGCGACCTCTTGAAGTTGTTGCACCGAATACTCAAAGGGCGCAGAGCTCCAGGAGACGTTGGCCCAGCAGGCGCCAGTCAATTCGAAATGGCCAAGTAATGTCTTTGCAGTGACGATCTTGGCGGTCGGAGTCAAACATTTGGCCATGGCCGCAACTTCATCCAAAACATCCTCAGGATAAGTCACTGAATTCATGAAAATCAGGTCGGCATCACTGAAGTCAACGTCCGCAAAGCTGCCGTATATGAACTTTGGAGGCCTGTAACTGGCTGAGCTGTGGAGAAAACAAGTTCATTAAAACTGAATCGCACCTTTTCAGATTGTAGAACAAGTCTCATGTTGCTCGGCAAATGCCTATATAGTGTGTATATATAGAGAGAGGGGGATGTCGCTGGGCAAATACATATATATATATATATATGATGCCTACAAGAAACCAATCGAGTGGAGTTATCTATATACCTATATAAGTACTTGAAATCAAAATCCAACCTCCATATGCACTGCCATCCTACTGTCCTGCTTGAAGAGAACGCGCAAAGCTAGAAAGGCATTGCAATGGCTGCCATGTTTGCTGTTCCACTGTATTGGGCCCCGTATGCAACCTTTTCATGGCCACAACAAGAAAATAAGGGAGAGAAAAATGCTTCGCGCTGCACATCGGTCTATGTGCATGTGCACGACGCGGCCTGATGCCAAGGGAATTCATCTTCTGCACGACTCTGCAAGATGCTTCCCATCTCGATGGAACAAGTTCAATGCCGGTGGAATTGAGACCGAAGAGTGATGCAAGCACCTTATATACATGCTGCCATCACTGACCATCCCCGAAATCAACCAACAAGCCTTTCATTAGTGCAATGGGACAAGCTACAGCAATTTTGCCAGTTCCGCTGCCGAGGTCAAAGAACCTTTGGCCAGCTCTGGCGCCAATACATTGTAAAATTGACAAGAAGCCCTCAGGGAGAATCTCCTCAGTTTAGGGCCAAGGTCCTTTCATTGTTGCTCCAGATTCTTGTTTGTGTATCTTAGCTTGGCAGACCGGTCTCAGTTTACTGCTGTGTCATCCAAGGCTTGGCCGATTCACACACATTGAACGTCAAAGTCTGCGAAATCAAGTTTCTCCATAGGTCAGGTCTGAGGCCTTTAGCGTCTTCAGCTGGCCGGTGACCACATCGATTCCAGACATCCATGAGGCGTTCTTTGATTGGCCCTTCACAGTGCGCCCAACTGTTGGAGAGTCTTGAGGCAAACGTATCAACTAGACTATCGGAAATGTGCCACAAAGGGCGACCAAGCCTCGTAGATCTCATCCAATCTTACAAGATGTGCAAGAGTCCCCTCACAGTGAAAGAAACTATGCTTATATAATATAACAAGCTGCAGGGTGAAACATAATGAAACACATGCCCATGCCAAAGTGCTTGAAGTTCTGGTCTGGTGCTTGTGGACAAACAAATGCAAGCTCAAAGAATCTGTTGGGATCGAGACCTTTCCAGGTTCAGCACATTCTTGGGCACCAGCATCCACAAGCAGATTTGCTTGAATGAGCACCAAACACAAGGGTGCAAACAGAAATTTGAGTTGCATCAACTTCCTCTGAATCTTGGCAGCTTAGGGCCAAAATCTGCAGTGGAAGCGCGCTGCTAATTGTTCATTGTTCACTGCACAATGGACAAAATTCCCATCTAGGTCGCATTCTGCAAATGCAGTCGAAAGAATCATAAACGCTTTCCTGCCTAGGGAATTTTTACAGTGATCTCTGAAGGCCAAACTCAATATGACACAATATGACTATCCTGCGTTGATTGTCAATTGTTTTGATGTGCAGTCCTTCCGCCACTCCCCATCGTAGGTACGGCCAGTGGGCCACGTCTTCTTTCCATTGCCCCACATGTAGCCCTGCAGTGATAAATGAGTCTTGGATGCAAACGTTGACAAATTGAGGACATCAAGTTGAACATAGCACCAATTTACAAATGGTGTATATAGGCCTCGTGAAACTCGCCGAAGTACTCACTGCCATCGCTCCAAATGTAGTGCCCCTGCACACGTGCTAGTGTAGAGTGTGACCTTTTGCACGTTGTGTGCAGCTCAGGATAGATTCATTGATATTTGGGTAGAGGTCAACGACATGTCATGGGCTTTCTTGTGAGTGGAAACTGGGCGTAGCAATCCCTAGCATCTTAATTCTGTGTGGCGGTACATCCAATCAAGCTGTTACTTTAAAGTTTGAAGAACACCACAAATGCTAGCAAAGCAGCCTCGCCGTGCATTCTACCATTTAGCCAAGTCCCTACCTCAATCACAGTGGGTGCACTTGGTCAGGTGTCATCTAAATGTCACCTAGATCCAATGCATGAAGCTCTGGGATGTCAACGTAAGAATTGCCGTTGGAAAAGATTCGCTGGTCCTGTCAAGCACGAGGGCTAACCTAAAGGTATGTGTGCATTGTTTCCATCAACCCTCTCCTTTACAAGTCTGTTGGTTGTCAGCTTGTCGCTGTCTGTCCTTCTTGGATTGACCTTGGCTTGCTCGCAGCCGTGCAAAATCAATGAGACGTCCGTGTGATACAACGCTGTGAAAGCTATAGACTTAAGAGGGCAACCACTCCAAAATCAAGCCCTGATCGTTTTTCAGACATCAGGTGCTCAATGTTCAGCGTGTTATCCTCTGGGACAAATAAAGAAGCCCACATTGATGCGACAAGCGCAAAAAAAAGCACACAAAAACAAACATATGCGCCTTTCGATTCACATGCTCATCAGGCAGTCTGCTTGGCACCTTTTCTAAACAAGGTGTCTTTGCTACCCAGAACAAACAAAGCTTGTATGTAGCGACATGTGGGGGACAAAGGACTAGATCAACCAGAGTCAATCAATGTCAATCATCCGAAGCACCTGTGGCCGCCCCGGGCGAGTCTCTCGCAGTGGTAGCCGCGTGGCATTGTAGCCATCTGCCTTAAAAAGTAGGCTGAAAATGTCGGACATCTCCAAGACTAAATATCCAGAACGTGACAAGTGGAACTGAAGGGCTCGTACCACTGTTGCCATCTTGGCAGCCTGGGCAAAGGAGAACAGTAACCGTTGCAAAGCAACATAACTTGCGTTCTCCAAGAACAAAATGAACGAGGGGCTGGCAGAGGGCAAAGGGCAGCTGCTTGCTCCCAGATTGGATACTAATGACTAAGCTAGAATTGACGGCAAAGACAGAGGGCTGTGACTGTGAATGTCCACCTGGTCACCACTAGTGACCTGCACATGAGCAAGTATCTGATGGTTGGAGTTGGAGGCAATCGCTAGTAGGTTGGAGGCCATCGCCAGTTCATTTTGCCGGACTTGGTCAAACCCCGACGCTCCAAAGACCACGTGAGCTCACGTGCCTTTTGGAGCTGAAAGAATTGGCCGGGAACTCACCGTGTGTCACCGGCCACAAGCCGCACAAGTCTGTGCACTCTGTACAGCACCCCAAGGTATAAGCTACTCGGGCTCTCTGCCAAAGCAGCTTCCACCGGAAGCTCACCAGAGCTTATCTTGCTGGTCTAGTGAGCTTCACCCTCCAGAAGCTATCAATAGTGAGAATTCTGCCAAGCCTTTACATTTACAGCTTGATGCGCATCTTCATTTCACTGATGATCTCCTTGGCTGTGCTCTGGCACTGCAAAAGGCAAATGGATTGGGCCTGAAGCAAGGGGGTTTCACCAAGAAGCTTCATTCAATGGCAGCAAGCCAGTCAGACCATAGTCCAAGCAAACTTTGACCAATGGCTGCGCCCTGTGCATCATTTCCTGCAAGTGAGGAACGAGTGAACACAAGTAATGCTTTAGAGTGCATGTTTTTCTCCAAAAGCATGAGGTTCAATGAGATCAGATTCAATTCTATACCCGCACCCGCACTGCTCTTATGAGCAGGCCTTACCTGCGCATGTAAAGAGTAGTTTTAGACCATGCTCAATCGTGTATCCTCCTCGAGGTAGCTATTTTGAACAACGTGCAGAGGAGGACAAGCCACCCGAAGAAGCTTGTCCTTGATGCTGCTTGCAACAGAGATGCAAGCAAAGCTCGGTAAACTGCACAAATGCGCCAGTCAGCGCAGCATGGGGCAGCCAAGTAGCATAGTAGTGATCTAACATAGAATTGGAGATGCCAAATGCCTGATACCTTTCAAAAGATCAACAACTCTCGCCAAAAACGCTAAAATTTGCTATCTATTTGCATCTCTCGAGCCTGTCAAAGCGTTCATGTGTAGCGAAGGCCCAAACTTCTTCCTGCAATTCCAAAGCATCTACACTGCAGCTGTTCTAAATATTCACCGGTCAATCAATCCTCAGATTTTGGGCGAGGTGTATCTGCCAGCATCAATGGAGCCCCAACCTCGCAATTGAACTGCCAGCAGCCTCAATCATGGCAAGCCAGAGTTAAGGAAGTCGCGTGTTACAGACACTGTGCTGACAAAGTTCGTATGATGCCAATCTCGCCAGTTGCCTGCCAGCTTCAGCATGGTGGTGTCCATTCATTTCCCGAAGAAGTCCCAACCTCTAAACGGTCTGCCCAGCGTGGCCACAGCAGTTCTGGCTCTTTCACGGCATCGTCAGGCACTGAATTGCCGTTTGCTGAGCCTCAAAACACAAAACATGGAGCCAGCATGACTGCAAAATGTGTTTGTCTGCAGTGTGCAGTATCATAATCCAAAACATCTCTGCACTGCCAAGCAACATGACACTAGCTCGATCCTTGCAGCAAGGCGTTTGCAAAAAAACTGCAAAAATTGAATCTTTGCATTCACACAGTGTGCAGTTCGTGTCATTCAGCCAAGAATCATTCGCATTGCATCTCGGATCACAACCCATTCTGCGCCAGCATTCTCCATGATTTGTTGGGCATTCTTCACCTCTTCAACAGGTGCGCCTAATGAAACACATTAGGCCTCAAGACCATGCAGCGCAGTCGCCTCCTTTTTGTCTGGAAACACTTTTCCTTGGCCAACAGAGATGCACTGGATAAAGAAGAGTAAACAACTGTTCCTTCGATTGCGGTCCAGGCGCTGTCATCAGCATCGTGGAGCAAGGCAGCCAATCTAACTGCCTGCTTACGCGCTGCCCCAATACCAGTGGCGAAGGATAAGGCCTCGCTCCCCCAATACTGCAACGACACGGCTCCAAAGTGCACACAAACACCTCTTCTATCCTCTGTGGAATAACCGGTGGGGGTTGAGAACCCCATTTTATAGTGATAAATGACTGAACCAGGCTCTGGGAGCACAATGCCACACTATAGAATCTAGCTTTCAACCCTTGTAGTGTACAGCATAGTTTCTCTATAGAATAAAGGGAGTCAACCTTTAAGGCACTAATGTAACAGAATTGTAGGCTCAAAAACTGAATTATCCAATAGAAACAGCCACGGGTGGTCCTCATTCTATAGACAAGTGCGTGTAACATCAAGGCTGACATATTATGTTAGAGGAAAGTTACGCAGCAATGGCAAAAGAGGTTGGCATTTTATTCTATAGAAACATGATTGAACATTGCAAGGCTGAAACTCATTTTATAAAAACAATATTGGACAGAAAATGACACTCCAAAAACAAGATATGTCTATAGAGGTTGATATGCATTTTATAAGGACAGGGTTGGACACTCACAGGTTGATATTTTTTAGAAAGGTGGGCTGAATGAACAAAAAAATCATTTTATAGTGGGCCAATATTCACCAGTTATTCCACAGGAAATGTGGGAATGCATGCACCAGATTGCACAAGAATGCGCCGGATATTTCGTGAAATCAGAATCAGAATCCAACCTACCTCACTGTAAAACATCCATCCACTCTAAAGTAAACTCTCAACCTTCCACTGTTCCAGGTTCTCTCTATAGAATCAAACCCATGTCCTCTATAAAATGTCCTCAATTGTCATGTATTCTCTATAAAATGAGGTTGATCAACCTATTGACCCATCAATATATGATTTTCTCACCTCAGAGATCCTCAGAGTGGATCTGTCTCAGGTAGGTTGACATTTGATTCTAGAAAAAACTATCTATAAAATGCCAGGTCATTTTGGAGCTCGACCTCCCCCATTCTATAGGGGTTATTCGGCAGAGGATCCTCTTCTTATGTTTGAAGTAAGAACCCCAATGGCTCCTGCTGCCTGGGGAACAACGCCTTGAGACCTGATGTGAGCGTACATAGGCCCTAGGCCCTACTTGCTTGATAGCCAGATGTTCTCAAATGGTATAGAGACCACCACAAAATTAGTCTGCCAAAGCTTGCTCTTGCCCTTTTTTGGATGCTATGTCATTCTGAGATACAAGTTTAATCATGAATGAACAAGCTCATCGGCCAGTGCGACAACCAACTTGCCTGGTGGACATGTTCGAGCACACGAATCGCGTGTCCAAAGCCATGTGATTCAGCAACATTATGCTTGGAGCAAAGAACCTCGTCAGGTGCCAAAGCGCAAGACAAAAGTCGTGACTACCCCTTCTCTAAGCCTAAGGTACAAGGAATTAGCAGCAATACTATACTTCCAATGTCCCAAATTGGCCCCGTTATGTTTCTTGAGTCGACCCCCGCCAAGCCAAGCATTCGAAAAGTCGTCCAGTAAAGTGAGCTGTACAGCAGGACTTGTTTTGAGTCAAAAGGCAGGGTCATTGGCCAGACATTGGACAAACAATCAATTACTGAACCACCAATCCATGCCAACCTGACCAGGGTAGAAGAACACTAATCGTAGCTCGCCCAAAAGAATACCCTCAAAATTCCAATGTCGTGTTGGAGGAAAACCTACACACGACGATTCAAATCTATCTTAGCCACTTCGACATGCAACCCCTGCCTTCAGCTCTTCCACTGCTGACAGAAGCACAGGATCATCCATCGGAGCAGCCGGAAATGATTACCCAACTCCGTCGCACTATTTTGGCGTCGCTGAGGCTGTTGCCTTGGAGAGCCCCTTTTCTGTGTTTTGCCAAGGCTTCTCTGTCCCAATCTTTCCGCTTCTGCATTGTACTGCTCTTGCTGTCGTTTCCATCTGCTTTGTTCTCCCACTCAGGTGCTTGTTGTTGTGGGCATTAGGGGGCGTAGAAAGTCAGCCTTCCCTCTTCGACGTGAAAGCCTGGTATCATCTGACATCATTGGTGCTCATTCAATTTGCCTCTATACATCAAAAACACGGCCTCACAGTGCTCAAATGAAAACACATGTCCAAAACACATTTCTTCGACTGCAGCAAGCGTTTCAGCGTCCCAAGTGCCACAGCTTCATTGAAGACGTGACCGAACGCTTTGAAGATCCAAGATCTTGAAGGCCAAGATCATGCATGCCTGGCTAAAGCCGCCGGCCCCATTTTCGGTATATCGCTGCAGATCTTGTGACATTCTCAACTCCATGATTGATGTTGTACGAACTCTCGGCTTTAGAGAGTGTGCAGACTTGTATGCCTTCGGCAAACGAATGTAGTGCACCTCCATCTGAGAGGTTTCTGTTTGAACTCTTGCTTTCGGCTTCATCTTCTCCTGCATCCCGACTGATCACGGAGCTTCCAGGTCCGCCAGGTCAAAATGATGTCTTGTCGAAGCAGTCATTCTGTAAAATGCTGAGGAGAAGCTCTGCCGTGAAAATGTGATCACCTGGACCCAGGCCGCTCTTCAGGTTTTTCACCCAACGCTCCATTCGAGCATCGGGGCGAGCGTGCAACATTGTTTGCAAGTCACTCAGCTTAAAGGCCGATGCAGTAGAAGAGCACGATCTGGTCGAAGAATCTGGGCTGCCTGGCTTTTCTTCTGACATTTCACTTGGCGACTCTGGTGGTGAGGACGATGTTCGCTGGGTTGATTCTATCATTCCTTTCATCGAAGGGCCCAGGATTCTGGTCACAAGGAACCGCAGCTCGCTCAAAAGCTCTTCAGGACCTTTGCAACGCCACAACACTGCAAACGTCTTGTGTTTTCAGGTCTCTGCTCAACGTCACCCTGTTAAGCTAGGTGAGGCGTACACTGCATGAACACAAAACCAGGAAAAGAGCAGGGCTCTATTTCTGAAAAAGTTGCTTGAGGAGATGGGGGTATTGTATATATTACTGTTTGTATATTATGTGTAATATGTATATATATATATATATATCCGCCGACCCCAGCCGATGGGGGAGCGCGCCAGAGTATATATTTCAACTATCTATTTATGTATTTATATCAATTCTCTTAGCGAGCCTGTCAATGGCAAGAAAGGCTCTGCTGAGCGCCGAGGCCGGTAGGAGGATAGCTCGTTGAAAAAGCTGCACATTCTTTGCAAGGCGTGTGAAGTTTGAAGATGTGTGAAAGACTCCGCATGAGGCACATGCTTAGCAACGTCAGGTGGCCTTTGCAAGACTGTGAGATGAGAAGAGAAGTTGGAGAAAAAGGAGACGACAACAAACAGTTGCAAAATGATTTGGTATATTAAAGGCCAAGTAAGAATGCAAAACAAACATAGATTGGCAAGAAATGGACGACCGTCTATACTTCTACTATCCAGCCGGTGTACTCTTTCCATGGGAAATAAACGAATGTTCAAAGCCACTCACCATGGTGCCCCAAAAAAATTGAACCCACCAAAAAACAAAAAACGCACAGTCGTCTGCAATCCCCTACTACCCGCCTCCAACCTTTAAGCCTTTACAACACA